CAACCTGAACTTGGAGGTCCAACCGTTCAGCGTCCAACCCTTGACACCAGCTCTAAGCCTTGACAGGCCCTGACGCTGCTTGAGGCTTGCCAGAGGCTGTCAACGGTTACCACGGCCTGGCAACAGCTACGAGGGCACGCCGAGGGACCGTCACGCGCTGTCAGTAAGAGAAGTTTCACACACTTAAATAATAAACCAGGGCAGCGAAGCCTGAGACACACAAGTCAAGACGTCGCAGGAAAACGCAACACACAACGAGCGTCACGAACAACTCGTGACTCACGGGGGTCTGGGCCTGGCGGATCGGCGGCGGATTTGCCATCGGCAAGCGGACGTCGACGGAAAAGGGGTTCGGCGAACGCGCCCGCCGCTCCCTTTCCAGGAGATGCGTGCTGGAATGCGAGCAGCCCAGAATTCATCGACCGCTCGCTTGCACAACGACGCGACGCCAGTCGCAAGTGCGACTTTTGATGTCATGACACCAGATCCCCCAACTGCTGCTGGATTGTTCTTTCCCCCCGCGACCGCGGGGAACGGTGGCAGGCGCGCCCAGCGCGAACCCTGGTCAAGTGAACAAGCAGACAATAAACACAACAACATCCCTTCGGAATGAGGAGGGCGACCAGCGACGAGCGAAGAACGGTGAGCAATCGCGCGGTGAAGCCGCGAGAGGGGGGTGGGCGCCTCGAGAAGCCCCGAGGCGCCGCGACGCATCGAGGATGACCGAGGCTAGAGGAGCAGGAGGGGGAGGAGGAGGAGGAGGAGAAGAAAAAGAAAAAGAAACATGAGGAGAAGAAGGAGGAGGAAAAGGAGGAGGATAAGGAGAAGGAGGCTTGATAATGAGGATGAAGAGGACGAGGAGGAGGAGGAGGAGGAGGAGCAGGAGGAGGAGGAGCAGGAGGAGGAGCAGGAGGCGGAGGAGGAGCAGGAGGAGGAGGAAGGAAGGAGGAGGAGGAGGGGGCGGAGGCGGAGGCGGAGGCGGAAGATGAGGAGCAAGAGGAGGGGGAGGAGAAGGAGGCTTGAGAATGAGGATGAGGAGGAGGAGGAGGATGAGGAGGAGGAGGAGGATGAGGAGGAGAGAGGAGAGAGGAGAGAGGAGGAGGAGGAGGAGGAGGAGGAGGGGGAGGGGTAGGAGGAGAACGAGGAGGAGGGGCGTCGGTGAGTTTGTCCGCTGCGGCCCCTGTCTGGGCCGCAGGAACCTCCTGGATGCTTCTGGCGAGCTCCGCATGTTCGGGGGGGGTCTCGACGCTCGGCTCCCCGATGACGTGGCGGACCCCAGGAGGATGGCCCCGCGCTGCCTCCCAGGGAGGCCCCCCCTCGACAGGCCGGAGACAGGGAGGGAGAGGTGCCCAAGGTGCCCGCCCCCAATATTCGAGTAGGGTCTCGACTTCAAAACTGACCAACCCCAAACACTAAAATCTCGCCGAATCTGCGGAACAATACTGCGAACACCCAGTAGAATCGCGAACACTCTACGCATCCGTCGTAGCATCGAAGGGGAGAACCACGTTTTGGGTACCGATCCCCTACCTGAAGGATGCAAGCAGAGGGGGGGAGGGTGCGAAGGGAGAAAGGGGGGGGGGACCCTGACCTTCGACGACTTGGCTCCTTCCTTGAGGCCTTCTTCGGGCCACGGGGCCTCAAGCATGAGCCTGGGGCGAGAGAATACCCCCCCCAAGGAAGCGGTCGGTGGGTGTGAAGAGAAGCAGGGCGGAGGAGGGCAAGCCAAGCGCGCTCGCGCCTTACAGTACCTACCATCCTGCCCCCCTCCCACCCACCCGCTTGCCTAGTACCAGTGCGCCTCCCGAACCCCTTGCCCCCCGTAGAAGCCTGACACGGCAGTGCTCCCTCCTGGGTCGGGCGGGATTCCGCCGAGCCGAGTCCCTCTTAACACTATTAGGTGTGATTCAGCCAAGTCAAAAAAAAACCACCCATTTGAAATAGGGTAAACCCAAATCCCGGGTCCTTGAAGGATCCCGCCGTGTTGGGACCCGCTGGATGCAAGTTCACGGACTCCTGCTGTGTTGCGGCCGCCTTGATGCCATCTTCATGCGATGCTCGCGCCGTTCTGTCGCCGCGAATCCCTCGTCATTGAAGCCATGTTGGGTTATCTTGAGGTCACCTTCGCATGGTATGCAGGCCCCAGGACCCCCCCCACTGCTTCGAATTGCGGACAAGACTGGGTGCATCTTGGAGTGGTCGTCAGGTCGTTTTCATTTCGCACTCGCGTCATGTTTGGGTTGTGCGGGCGTCGTTCGGTCAGTTCGGAGTCGCCCTTGATGTGCCTGGGCCCATCTTCTGGCCTGTGGGCGCCCGCTGCATCAGGCGGATCATCGCATAGGAAGCCTGAGACTTCCAAGATGTCCTGTCGGGATCATGTTGGGCCATGGGGCTATCTCAGATTCGCTTGGAGGTCATCGTCGGTTGCCTTGGGCCCGAGTGGTACCACTTTGGGGCAACGAGGTCACGCGGCCATTGCGTGCACTTGGGCATACTCCCAAGGCAACTCTGGCTGGAGCCACGTAGGGAATGTCTCTGCCTTGAACCAGATGCCATCGCGTCGCGGCGCCCCTGCTCCCTGCCGCTGCTGCTGCTGCTCGCGGCGCTCTGCATGCTTTCGGAGAGACGCAGGATGGATGGGAGGAGGCCCCCCTGCGCCGCCTTCTGGCCCCCCTCCTTCCTGCGCTTCCCTCCTCCCCCGTGGGCCCTGCCTCTCCGCCACCTCGCTGCCCCTGCTCCTGCTCCTCTGCCTCGTCCTCCTCTCTCCTCCCTTCACCTTCGGCCTCCCCCTCCTCCTCTTTGCTTTGCCTTCTCCCCCTGCTTCTCCAGCTCCCCTCACCCCTCCTGCCCATCCTCCCCTTCCTTCTCCGTCTCCTCCCCCCTTTCGGCGGCGAGCCCGGGGGGGGAGTGAGAAGGGGCGGGCCTTCTCAGAAGGCTCGGAAGCCCCCCGGCCTTCTGAGAAGATTTCTAAGCCTTCCCAAAGGACGCAGAACACCTCTCATACGGCCAGAAGGCTTCTGAGAAACCCAGCCGCTTTCTGAGCAGGCCTTCTCCTTCTCCTTCTCACTTCCCCCCTCGCTCGCCGCCGGCCTTCTCCTTTCTCGGCAGCCGCCTCCCAACCCAGCGAGGCTCGGAGGACCCGACACGGAGCGACTGGTGGGTCATGCGCTGGCAGTCTCGCCGACACTCTGGGCGCAGGTGGTTTCGGGTCTGACCTCTTCCGAAAGAGCCCCGTCTTACCCTTCGTGGGAGTCCCACAAGCCCTCTGGGCATAGGTGGTCTCACGAACTTGTGTCTCCTTTCTGCCAAAATCCCTCCTTCCCCTGCTCGGGGGAGGGGTTCATCACTGTTCCCTTTAAAACAAAGGCCCCCTCCCCAAGGCGACCGTCAGCCAACCATGACCAATGACAACCCCCAGTGAAGAGTTTGCCCTTCACCCTTCACTCTTCCCTGTCCCTAGGAGACTGGCCCCTGGGGGGAGGGGGCGGGCTGGCAATGAGAGGGTACAAGATGGCCGAAGATGGCTCCGATGTGGCATTAGCTGGCCAGCAGAACGGCGCAAGATAGCCCCAGTTGGCCCACATTGCCTCCATGCTGCCTCCAGGTGGAAGGCTCCAAGCTGGCTCGCAGGTGACGCCCAGGACTTCCAATAATACCCCCAAGAGGCCAAAGCACTAAATAACCACAATCTGTCCTACTCGGTCTTCTCGCCTTCTCGGCCCCCGATGGGCCTCCGAGGCCCAAATGTGATTCCAAGACGGCCTAGGTTCGCCCCAATGATGAGGGCCAGAGAAAGGCCCTAAAGGCCCCGAAGAGCGCGCCAAGAGAGCCCCTAAGAGGCAACTACTCGGGTTAAAGCGGAGGCCGTCAGGTCTGCGAAGCAGCCAAGTTACACTCACCATACATAGGAACTACAGTCGGGGCGTTGACCTAAGGAACCCTAAATAAGGAACGAGGCCCCTTTTGTTCCATACGTTCTACTTCTATTTCCCATGGAAGCCTCAGGAAAACCTGCGGCAAGCTGTAAAACAATCGAGGAACACCGAGCCCCTCCCCAACGAAAAGGGTTCCTTCTCCAGCGCCCCGACGGTATACGGTGGGGCACCGAGGGTGACATGAAGTCGCGCGTGCGCCCCCACCGTCTGCAGCTAGGCCCGAGGGCCGCCGTGAGCAGCGTGCGCCGCAGCCATCTGTACCGCCCAAATCAAGCAACCAAAACAATACCCCTCCAAGAGCACCCCCAAGAAGGGCTCAAGAGGCCACACTCATTACTTTTCCATCGGAAACTTACATTTCTAGCATATACGACGTTTCGGCCTTCACGGCGTCATAGACAGCTTCGTCTTCAGGGTCGGCGGCACCGGCCGTAAGGCCTTCGCAATCAAGCAACCAAAACAATATTCGGGAATCCAGACCTCGCTCTCAGTGGCTTCCGATTGCTCCCATGCGGCTGTTGGGCGACCACCTGTGGCAGAGGTCAGATTTTCGAAACGCCGGCTGGGGCTCAAGATCCAAAGGATGTCTGCAGCCACCAAATGAACCCCAGCAGGTTCGCTGCCGCCGACGCCGCCGCCACCGACAGCGCCAGCGCCGTCGCCACCGCCGGCGTCGTCACCGTCGCCGCTCGCCGTCGCCGCCGCTGGCGTCGCTCGTGGCTGTGGCCGCCGTCGCCGCTGCGGCCTCCGCCGTCGCGTTGGCCGCCTCGGCCGCTGGCCTCCGGCACACACAGGCTGTGTCCTCCTGCTTGCCGCCTCCTCTTCCCGCTCGGCCGACGCCGTTGCCGCTCGCCATCATCGTCGCCGTCGCCGTCGCCGTCGCCGCCGCTGGCGGCGTCGCCGTGGCCGTGGCCGTGGCCGCCGCCGGCGTCGCTCGTGGCCGTGGCCGTGGCCGCCGCCGCCGCCGAGGGCCGTGGCCGGCGCCGCCGCTGTGCTGCTCCTCCGCCTGCTGCTGCTGCTGCTGCTGCTGCTGCTCGACGTTCGGACCGTGCCCACCCCCAGTGCCTTCGGCCACGCCTCCGCCCAGCGGCGACACGAGGGGGGCCAATTCGCCAGCGCCGGCAGCCTCGCCATGGAGGAGGGAGGAGGAGGAGGAGGAGGAGGAGGAGGAGGAGGAGGAGGAGGAGGAGGTGGAGGAGGAGGAGGAGGAGGAGGAGGAGGAGGAGGGAGGAGGATGATGATGATGATGATGAGGAGGAGGAGGAGGAGGAGGAGGAGGAGGAGGACGATTTTCAGGAGCGTAGGTCGCCTCTCAATTCTTGAGGCCTGTGAGCCTCAGGCCGAGCGAGCGCCGATGCCGTTCCGTGCGTGCGCGGGGAACGCCTCCTGAGGAGAACAGCGGCGGGGCCGGAGCCCCTCACCTGTGATCGGTCCACCTTCGTAGTCCGCGCGGACGTGGGACAGCATGTTGGCATCGCTCCGGGTCCCAGACCTACGCTCTGTAGGAGGGAGGGCGAGGGGAGGAGGGGAGGAAGAGAGGGGGAAACGTTGTTCAAAAGACCCAGGAGGTCTCCACAACACTTCTGTTGCCGAAAGTTTCAGGATGCTTCTGGGGATAAAATAAGGGCGGGGACTGGGAGAACGAAAAGGAAACGAAGGAGGATGAGAGAGAAGGAGCAGGGGCAGGGAGAATGAGAAGGAGGAGGGAGATGGAGGAAATCCTTCGCCCTCCTGCCTGCTCCCGCTCCTCCTCCCTCCCCGCTCCCTCCTCTTCGCTCCTCGCTCGCTCGTCGGTCTCTTCCTCCCTCCCTCCCTCCCTCCCTCCCTCCCTCCCTCCCTCCCTCCCCCTCCCTCCTCCCTCCTCTCCTCCTCCTCCTCCTCCCCTCCTCCTCCTCCTCTCTCCTCCTTCTCCTCTTCTTCCTCCTCCTCCTCCTCCTCCTCCTCTCTTCCTCCTCCTTCTCCTCCTCCTCCTCCTCCTCCTCCTCCTCCTCCTCCTCCTCCTCCTCCTCCTCTTTGAGAAATGTGACATATCCCCTGTGTTTTTGGACCCAGACCCCGCCGATCTGCGTCAGGGGTGACACCGGATTTCAGAAATGTGGCACATTCCTTGTGCTTTTGGACCCTGACCCCGCCGATTTGCGTGAGGGGTGCAGCCGGATTTAGACATGTGGCACATCCATTATGTTTTTGGACCCTGACCCTGCCGATCTGCGTGAGGGGTGCCACCAGATTTTAAGAATGTGGCAAATACCATGTGTTTGTGGATCCTGACCCCGCCGATCTGCGTGAGGGGTGCCACTGAAATTCAAAAATCTAGCAAATCCTTTGCGTTTTTGGACCCTGACCCCGCCGATCTGCGTCAGGGGTGCCACTGAAATTCAAACATGTGGCAAATCCCCTGCGTTTTTGGACCCTGACCCCGCCGATCTGCGTCAGGGGCGCCACCAGATTTAGAACATGTGGCACATCCCTTGTGGTTTTGGACTCTGACCCCGCCGATTTGCGTGAGGGGTGCAGCCGAATTTAGACATGTGGCACATCCATTATGTTTTTGGACCCTGACCCCGCCGATCTGCGTAAGTGGCGCCACCAGATTTCAAGAATGTGGCAAATCCTTTGTGTTTTTGGACCCTGACCCTGCGGATCTGCCTGAGGGGTGTCAAATTTTACCCCCCAAAACATTCCGAGAACCCTCCCAGGGCGTGGTAGTTTTGCTGGGTTGGGCTCCCCCGCCCCCATCGCGCGTTCATCATCCCCCGCCCCCCTCGCGCGTTCATCAACAAGGAACAGTAAGCAGCAAGAAGCAGAACTGTAACAATGGAAACTGGAAGCTGCAACTGGTACAGGGAGCAACACATTCCCGGCCCACAGCCTGGTGGCTCCGCAAGGGGGCCGGCGGATTCGGAATCGGAATTCGGAATTTGAATTATGGTAGATGCAATTTCCTTGGAAAAACCGCACCCAATGGACTGGAATTGTGTTTCCCAGAATTCGAATTCTGAATTATGGGAAACGGAATTTCCCGTGAAAAACCGCACTCGATGGGCCGGAACCTGTCCTTTTGAAAAACCGTACTCGATGCGCTGGAACTGCGTTTCCCGTAATTCGGATTTCGAACTCTGGGAAATTGCGTTTCCCGAAATTGGGAATTCGAATTGTGGGAACCGCCATTTCCTTGGAACAGCCGCATTCAAAAGGCTGGAATTGCTCTCATAACTCGGTTTCAGAATTTCGGGAAACGCGGCTTCCCAGAATTCGAATTCAGAATTATGGGAAACGCAATTTCTTTGGAAAGCCCGCACTCAATTGGCCGGAATTGCGTTTCCCATAATCCCGAATTATGGGAAACGCAATTTCATTTCAAAACCCTACTCAATAGGCAAGAATTGCGTTTCCCATGATTCGGACATCGGGTTCTAGGAGACCGCGTTTCCTGTTGGAATTGCGTTTCCCACAATTCGAATTCCGAATTTCGGGACACGCCTCTTTCCAAAATGGGAAGCGCAATTTCCCTTGAAAAGCAAAACACAAATGGGCCGGAATTACGTTTCCGATGTTTCCGAAATATGGGAAACGCGATTTCCTTTGAACAGCCGCACCCGATGGGCTGGAATTGCGTGTCGCATAATTCGAATTCCGAATTTCGGAAAAATTCAAATTCTGAATTATGGGAAATACAATTTCCATTGGAAAACCGCACCCGGTGGGCTGGAATTGCGTTTCTCATACTTTCGAATTCTGGGACACACGATTTCTTTTGAAAAGCTGTATTCGGTGGGCTGGAATTGTGTTTCCCATACTTCGAATTCCGAATTCTGGGAAACTGCGTTTCCATGAATTCTGAATTCGAAATATGGGAAACGCAGTTTCCCTTTTGGAAAACCGCACTCGATGGGCTGCGTTTTCCCGAATTCTAGGAAACTGCGTTTCCCGACATTCGGAATTCGAATTCTGGGAAAGGCAATGTTCCTTGAGAAACCGTGCTCAATTGGCTGGAACTGCGTGTCCCCTAATTCCGAATTGTGGGAAGCGTTATTTTCCTTGAAAGTCGTCTGCAACAGGCCAGACTCCCGTTTCATATAATTCGGAAGTCGAATTCTGGGAACCTGCGTTTCCTGGAATTCGGAATTCGAATTACGGGGAACGCTATATCCCTTGAAGAAACCGCACTCCGTGGGCTGGAATTGCGTTTCCCACAATTAGAATTCAGAATTTCATGAAACGTAGTTTCCCAACATTTGAATTCCGAGTTATGGGAAACGCAATTTTCTTGAAAGACCTTACTCAATGGGCCGGAATTATGATTCACATGATTCGGAGTTCTGGGAAACGCGATGTCCCTTGAAAAACGATATTCAATAGGTTGGAATTACGTTTCCCATAATTTGGAATTCGAATTCAGGGAAGCTGCCTTTCTCGAAATTCGGAATTCGAATTAGGGGTTACGCAATTTCCTGGGACAAAACCGCATTCAATGGGCTGACATTGCGTTTCCCACAATTCGAATTTCGAATTTCGGGTAACGCGGTCTCCCATAGTTCGAATTCCGAATTCTGGGAAATGCAAGTTCTTCGAAAAACCGCACCCAATTGATTGGAATTGCGTTTCCCATAATTCGAATTTCAGGAAACGCAATTTCCCTTGAAGAGCCGCGCTCAACGGGCTGGTATTACTTTTCCCATAATTCGAATTCAGAATTTCGGGAAACGCGATTTCCCAGAATTCGAATTCCGAGTTATGAGAAACGCACTTTCCCGGGAAAAACAGCACTCAAAGGACCGGAATTGCGTTTCCAACAACTCCGAATTCTGAATTATGGGAAATACAATTTCCATTGGAAAACCGCACCCGGTGGGCTGGAATTGCGTTTCTCATGATTTCGAATTATGGGGCACGCGATTTCCATTGAAAAGCCGTACTCAATGGGCTGGTATTGCGTTTCCCATAACTCGTCATTCGAATTTGGGGAAACTGCGTCTCCCGAAATCGGGAATTCGAATTCTGGGACACGCAATTCCAGCCCATTGAGTGTGTTTTTTTCAAAGGAAATTGCGTGTCCCATACTTCGAAATTCGACTTACGGGAAAATCGCGTCTCCCGTGCAATGTGTGCTTGGGGCAGTCGTCCGGGATTGCGTTTCCCATAAGTCAAAAATATCGGCTCTGCATTTAGCCAGGAGTATGGCAATGTCTTTGGCGGAGACAACGTGCCTTTTTCGTGCCGCGTATGCGATGCGGCACCTCGCAGATGACGTGAGATTTGTGGTCCGTGATGTCGGTGTTGGCGTCCTCGGCCCCATTCCAACTATGGGGCCGGTAAGTCTCGGCCGAGGGCCGGTATACTCGTTCTCTTGGTCTCGCACTTCTTCGCGGGCATCCAGGCCGCCATGGCGCCTAGCCCTGGCGCCGCGCTGGTCGCCGCCGCGGGCGGGGGGCTGGCGGGCCCCCCCCCCTTACGGGCGCGGGGGGGAAGAGTCCCCGCATGTGGCGACTTCCTCCCCCCTCCTCCTCCTCCTTCTCCTCCTCCTCCTCCTCCTCCTCCTCCTCCTCCTCCTCCTCAGTGGCAGTGCCCCTTCGCCGGTGAGCGTCTGCTTCCGCGGGTCACAGCCGAGGTGCTCGCAGGGGGAACGCAAACTCAGGAACGAAGCCCCTCTCGGACCCCAAAAGCGCCTCGGTGCAAGAGGGGGGGCTGGAGGAAGAACCACAGAAGGATCCAAACAACAGCGAGCCCCTTCCGAATCCCAAGCGGCCCTCATCTCAGCGCCTTGCACTGCAGACCGAAGCTCTGTTTCGACATTTTGCGGAAGGGGGAAGGGGGGAAGGGAGTCCTGGTTCTGGACCTCTGCTTTGTGCGGCTGTTTGCAACAGTGCGTCCTCTGGGGTCTGGGGGAGAGACTCCTCGAAGCAGGCGCCCCAAGCAGCCAAGATTTACTCCATAGATTGGGGGCAAGGGCTCGCGCCGATCGGCAAAACAATGAACCAGAAAACGAACTTGGCTGATGTCACCGTGCGCTCGGCATTCTCAGGCTCGGGAACTCACAGCACTGATGGCTGTTCAGAGTGGCGACGGCTGGCGGGAGGGGCCTCCCTCCGCTGCGGGGCTGATGCCACCACGGCGCTCTCGGCCCCCTCGGCGTCCCGAGCCCCTGGCCCCCTCCCTAAGAGGAAGAGAACAGTGCACACACACAAACTTTCGACGGTCCGCGCGGATTTCTTGGATTTGCGCTGGGCCCCCCTCTTTGGCGCGCGGAACTCGGCAGGGGCGGCGCCAGAGGCGCCGCCCTGGGGGGCCCAGCGCGGATCCAAGAAATCCGCGCGGAGCGCCAACAGCTTCTGTTTGCAGGATTATTTGTTCTTCTTTCCCTCCGAGCCGGCGGATGGGGGTCCCCCCCTCCCCCTGTGGGCAGCCCCTGCTCCTCTCGGAGCCCGGGCCCGGGCGTCGCATCCGGAGCTCTCGGCCCCCATCCCGGCCTGGAGGCCTCGCTCCCCCCCGGAGCTGGAGTCTGCCGATCCTGCCGCGTCGTCCACGGTGCCGAGGGGGACGCCGCGGGCTCCGGCCCCGAGTGCGCGGTCGCCCCCCCCCCCCCCCCCCCCCCGCAGGGGTGCCGGCCGCTCCGCCCCGCAGGGGTGCCCTCGTCCTGGCCCCGCTCTTGCTCTCCCCCCTCCAGCGCCCACCTCTGCCGTGCCTCCTCTTCCTCCGCTCCCTCCTCCTGCCCTCCCCCTCCTCTCCCGCCCCTCTCCCTGCTCTCCCATGCCCCTCCCTCCTCTCCCTCCCCTCTCCCCCCCCTCCTCCCCTCCCTCCCCCCTCCCCTCCCTCCCCTCCCCCCTTCCTCGTGTGCCTCCGCCTCCTCCACCTCCCACTCCTCCCCGGCGTCGAGGCGTCGAGGTGTCGCGGCGGCGTCTTCGCTCGCGAGAGGGGCGTCCGCCGTGGCAGGCCCCCTCCCCTGGGATGCCCCCTCCCAGGGCGGATCCCGCGCTCACCGCCTCCTGCAGGCCTCGGAAGAACTTAGCGAACACTCATGCCACATTCGCTTGTCAATGCCCCCCCCCACCAATGATTAGTGTTGGCGGTGGGCTGCATGAGTTGCACTTCGACCGCCGGTCTTCCCCGTGCGTGCCAACCTCGAGTTTCGGGGGGCGGGGGTGTTCACGAATTTGTTTCCCTCTACTGTAGCGACCTGCTGCGGCAGGTCGCACGGGTCTGGCGGGAGCGCCCAGGGGGGATCCTTTTTGCGCCCTGCTCCTGGCCCCATGATTGCCCAGCGCCGTGCCGTCGAGAGGTGAGGGGTGTGGCCTGGCAAGTGGGGTCTCCCTCTCTCTCGTGGCCCGTGCCCTCCTCCCTTGGCACGGTGTTGGGGTGATGTAGCCTGGAGGCAGTCCCCGCGGCTCTGGCTAAGTGGGCGCTCTCCGAGGCCCCATCCGCGCGGGACCCAGTCTGCCTCCGGGCCACCAGCCATCCCGCTCCCTCCTCTTCGCTCCTCGCTCGCTCCTCGATCTCCTCCTCGCTCCCTCCCTGCCTACCTCCTCCTCCTCCTCCTCCTCCTCCTCCTCCTCCTCCTCCTCCTCCTCCTCCTCCTCCTCTTCCTTCCCTCCTCCTCCTCCCCTTCCCCTTCCTCCTCCTCCTCCTCCTCCTCCTCCTCCTCCTCCTCCTCCTCCTCCTGCCGCAGATCGCGCAGTTGGACGCGACGACTCGGTGGCCGAGGTCAGGCGCGCCCGACCGCCTCCGAAGAGGGGGGTCCCGTCGCGTCGCCGTGCAGGAAACTAGTCTACTGGTGCCCGCAGGCACCCCTTGGAGGGCAATCCCTCCCCACAGGGGCTTGCCTCGGGGCCCGACGGGGGCCCTCCCTCCTGCGGAGGCCTCTCGTTTCAAAATCACGGATGTTTTCACGGCCACGCTGCCGTCGCAGGGATGAGTTTTATCCAGGGTGTGCCTGCTCAGGTAGGCCTTTGACTGATAGCTTGACAACGTCCCCAGCGGTTCAGATCAGATCAGATCCTCCTCCTCCTCCTCCTCCTCCTCCTCCCTCCTCCTCCTCCTCCTCCTCCTCCTCCTCCTCCTCCTCCTCCTCCCTCCTCCTCCTCCTCCTCCTCCTCCTCTCCTCCTCCTCCTCCTCCTCCTCCTCCTCCTCCTCCTCCTCCTCCTCCTCCTCCCTCCTCCTCCTCCTCCTCCTCCTCCTCCTCCCACTGCTCCATGCGCTCCCGCGCGCGGGCGCGCGGAAGCGAGGCGACGACCATGCGCCTCGGCGGCCTCGCTTGGCCCGGCGCCCGCATCGGCAACCTGGCGTGGGCGTGGCCAGGGCGCGGGTCAGCACGCATGGCCCGCGCGCACACATCTGTTTGCATATATATATAGACATTTACATATCCATATGCGCATGTATATGTATATATATGTATATATATATATATATATATATATATATATATTCACACCTCTGTATTTTTGTAGGTGTATATATACACAAAACACAGCAAGCACACGCGCACACACACCACACAACACACAGCACACACAACACACTTGACACACCACACACAACGAACAGCACACGCAACAAACACAGACGCACATGCACACATACACACAGACACACAGACGCACCGACACGCGCACACACAACACACACAAACACACAAGCACACGAACACACACACAAACACACAAACAAAACAACAAACACGCACACAAGCACACACACACACACACACACACACGCACGCACGCACACAATTTTCGGTCGTTGCGGCGCGGCGACTCGCCAGCGCGTTGGGCGCCCCTCGCGGGGCGCGCAGTAGGCGGAAGAAAGGAGAAGAACGAGAAACAAGGGAAGTCCAGGCGGCCCGCCCCTCGCAGGGCAGTGGCCGGGGGCGGCACCGGTGCGTGGGGGCAGCGGGCGGCGGCGCGCAGCGGCCAAGACGACCCGAATTCGGACGACATGGGGAAGGCAGGACAAGGGAAGGGAGGGCCAAGAGAAGAGAGGGAGAAGCGAAGAGCGACAGCGGACCACACAAACACACACGACACGACACAACGCAACACAACACACCACACCACACCACAACACAACACAACACAACACAACACAACACAACACAACACTCCACACCACACCACACCACACCACACCACACCACGACACGACACAACACAACACAGCACAGCACAGCACAACACAACACAACACAACACAACACACCACAACACAACACAACCCAACACCACACCACACCACACCACACCACACACACACACGCATACACGCATACACGCTTACACGCATACACGCACACACGCACACACGGACACCCACCCCCCCACCCCCACCCCCACACCCGCACCCGCACCCGCACCCCCAACCGCACACACACACACACACCACACAACGCGTACGCGCACACGCACACACACACGCACACACACACACACGCACACACGCACACGCACAGGCACACACGCACACACACACACACACGAGCACACACAGACACACACAGACACACACACACCACACACACACACACACACACGCTTTTTGGCGTCGCAGCCCGGCGCGCGCGTCTCAAGGCCGAGCCCTCAAGCTGCTTGGAGCAAACACGCATGCACACACGCATGCATGCATACGTACACATATACACACTCACACGTACACGCACACACGCACACACGCAAACACGAACACAAACACAAACACAAACACACACACACACATCATGAGTCCTCACCCTCCTCTTAGACGTCCCCGGGGTCCTGACTGGAGCGTGCCCACGGGCCCTCGCCGCCCGGGCGGAAGCCCGAGGCCTCCGAGCAGGAGGAGACCTCGTCGATGTCGACGGTGTCGTCGTCCTGCCGGCGGGGGACCGTGGAGCGTTTACTCCCAAGCATCCCGTGGTGCAGGGTCATCCTTTCAAGAAAGACAGCGCTCCGCGTTCCTCACCTCCCGCCCTCCCCTCCCGCTGCCCTCATCCCATCCCTGCCTCGCCCTCCGCGTGCGCATGTCGGCACAAACCCATCACACGTTTCGTGGACCCATCGGGATCTCCACCGAAGGCCCACATTGTCGCGCCCGCGTGGTGGCACCGCTCATTTTTGGCACACCCCTCGCACGCTTTGTGGCCCACAAAGGGGGCTCCACCGAAGGCCCTCATGGTAGCGCCCGCATGGCGCCACCGCCCGATTTTGCACGTCTCTGACAAGTTTCGCACGTAGCCTCCACAAGAGCTTCACCGAGGCCCACATGGCAGCGCCCGCATGGCGCCACCGTTTAGTTTTGGCACGCCCCTCACTCGTCTCGTGGCCCCACAGGGAACCCTACCGAAGGCCCAAATGGCAGCGCCCACGTGACGCCACAACCCAATTTTGGCACGCCCCTCACATTGGGTGGCCCCACGGGGGGCGCCGCCGAAGGCGTAGATTGGCAACGTCCGAATGGCGCTGCCGCCCAATTTTGGTACACTCTTCACGCGCTTCGTGGCCTCATAGGTAGCTCCGCCGAATGCCTAGATTGACAGCGTCCGCCTAGCGCTGCCGCCCAAACTGAGGCACACCCCTCACACGTTTCGTAACCACAGGAAGCCCCATCGAAGGCCCCACATGGTAGCGCCCGCATGGTGCCACCGCCCAATTGTGGCACGCCCCTCACATGTTTCGTGCCCCTACAGGGAGCTCCGCCGAAGGCTTGCAATGGCAACGCACACATTGCGCCACTGCCCAATTTTGGCACACCCCGCCGCCCCCATCGTGGCCCACCCCCACACCCTTCGTAGCGCCATATCAGAAGGAGCTCCACCGAAGGCCCAAAAGGCAGCGCCCGCAAGGCACCGCCGCCCCGTTGTGGCACACCCCTCACACGTTTTGTGGCCCCACAATGGGCTCAAACGAAGGCTTCAGCGGCAGCGCCCGCATGGCGCCGCATCTCGGCACTCCCCTCGCTCGTTGCGCAACCCCGTAGGGGGCCCCACCGATTACCAGAGTGGCAGCGCCCGCATGCCGGCGCCCCGCACGGTTCGGCCACCCCCTCGCACCCTTCGTGGCCCCACAGGGAGCCCCCCACTCTTCCCGCCTGCCTTGCGTATGGCTGGTTCTTTCGCCATGACAAGTCGGTTCGGCAGGCTCTCGGTTTCGTGGCAGCGTGATCGAGGGCATACGGCCTAGATCTGGCTCCGCAACTTACGGCAAGGTCGATGTATAGCCTCGAGTGTGTTTGATTGTTGGATGGCAGCAGTGTTGCATTCTCGTTCTGGGGACCTTCCTGGAGCCACTCACTCCAATCATGCGGTGATGCTGCGTCGAACGTGGGTCGACTTGAATCGAACTGTAATCGGACTTGAATCGAACTAGAGCTGAACACATCCGTTAGGTGGGCCCTAACAAGTTCACCCAAACGAGCATCTAATCAATGTATCGGCATCGTACTCGTGCTACCGCTGCACGCGGCTCGAGCTGAGTCGTTCGACTCTGATGCATTTGCAAGAAGCTGCCTCTGCTCCGTTACCTTACGCATGTCAGGAAGTCCAACGGTATAGTGCCACCCAGCTTGTCAGAACACCAAGCCTATGAACGTAGACACTTTTGCATTCCGTCCAATACAATGCATGACATCGAAACGAGAGGAGTACTGTAATACTGTGGAGCTGTATGGTTGTTTTGAGCAGCAGCAAGCAGTGCTTCAATAACTACCTCTCGAATGACTCTGGGACTGTGTGAACTGAATGCGCCAACATACGTGCCTCGCAACGGTAAGATCGAACATCGAGAATCGCAGGGCCCGTCCGGAGTCGAGCGTCCAAGCTCGAGAAATTGAGTGCGTTTGATCCTTTCTGGGCCTCCAGAAGCCCTGGGGAGCCCGCACCCCTCGATGCCGATCATGTAGTTGTCCTGCGGCTGTGGGTCGAGGAACTGGGTCTCCGACGTCTTCAGTAAAACAGGCTCCTAGTTATGCTCGGGCTCTCGTGGCCACTTCTGGGCCCCATGGCCAATTCGTTAGTGCGTGTTCCTGAGCAATGATTTCCGAATGAGGATTTCGGAAAAACGATTTCGAAATAAAGACTCCATATCAAGGGTTCTTCCAAGATGATTCCCTAGGTGAGGCCCTGTACTAAGAATTTGTTTCGGTAAGGGTCCTGACTCTTTAATACATGCTCTGTATCGAGGAGTCCTATTGTACGTGGTTGTTCCTTGCGGATTCTACAGTGAGAGCTCATTTGCTCAGGATTATTCAAGAAGGCTTCCTTAGTAAGGACTCCTCATTCAGAACTCCTTAATCAGGCTCTGTATCAGTAAGGACACCATCGTAAGAATCCCGATCTCTCTTGCTCGTGGCCCCTTGTGCCAAGCCACAGGGCCAGGCAACACGTTTTTCAGGTCAGAGGGGCAACTACCTCTATAAGCCATTGTTTCAAACATATGTGTGTGTGGACCCATGCACGGCCAAATAGACAATGTCACAAAACCGTGGAAACATTAAACACGTGTTTTACGCTACGTGCCGGCCCTCGAAACTGCAAGACATGTTGTTTACAATGGTTGATGGTTCATGGCTCGAGCCCGCTCGTACGGCCTTCATTATGGGCTCTGACATACAGCTTGGTAGAGCTCAAGTCGCACGGATTCCTTAGAACGGGTTCCTCACGTTTGTTTGTCGGTACGGATCCTCTCTGAAGTATTCTTTAACACTGACTACTTATACGGGAGTCCATGTGTAAAGTTTTCTTGTTTGCGGAATCTGCGCAGGAGACTCTTTTGTTCAGGGCTATCCAGGAAAGATGCCTTATTAAGTATTCCTCTTTAAGAATTCCGTGGGAAGGCGCTGTATTCAGGACTCTTCAACAACAAAACAACAGGTCACATAGCAATGTTTCGTCGCTACTGGCTTTCTTCTAATGATGCCTGACACAAGTTCTTTAGATATGATTTTTTGGAGCGTAACCTTACAACGGGTTCCTTCGAAATGGTGTCTCCGTAAGACTTCCTTCGTGAGGCTTCCTGAATAAGGATTGCTTGCTAAGGATGCGATAGTAAGTATTCTTCAACAAGGATTCCCGAGGAAGGATCATGTATTAAGTATTTTCGGTAAGGATCATGGGACAAAAGGACTCGCTTGCGATGACTTCGTACGACGGAATCTTTCTAAATGATTAGTTGTTCTGGGTCTGCGGACTTTCTCATGCTTGTGCAATGCGACTTCCTTACTCGGATTCCTGAGGAAAGGATCCATTAGCCAGGAAAGGCTCTTTGCTAAGGACTCTTCAATAAGACCACCGGCACACGCACTGTTTTTGTTTGTTTTGTCTCTCTCTCTCTCTATCGCTCGATCTCTCTCTCTCTCTCAACATATACCTGTCTACCTATCTCCATATATCTATATATATGTATATATACATATATATATACATATATATATATATATATATATAGAGAGATGTCTATCGCCTTCTTTATCCTTCTGCAACAGAATGGAAAATTAAACGGCCCAGGCCTTTGTACGGCCTGGCGCCGGAGGAGGAGGTGCCCGGTGGTGACCTCCCCTGGCGCTGCCCGAGGGGCGGCGGAGCACTCCGGCGGTCCTCGGAGGCGCGCGGGGAGACGGGCTGCGGGCCCAGGCCGTGCTGTACCTCGGGCCCCTCCCGCGACGGCGCGGTGCCGTGGTGCAGCGCCGGGTCGGCCTCCCTCGGGGCGCCGCCTGGTGCGAGGCTGGGGTCCGAGCAGACGGGGTCGGAGGATCTCGCGGCATCGGCCATGCCTCGGCGATTCACTGGCGGCGTCGGCGATGCAGCGGCGCCGTCGGCGCGAAGACATTCGGGCTCCACATCGAGGGCTGCACATCTAGCCGCATCGCCGATGCATCGGCGACGCGGCGGAGTGCTCCGACCCCATCTGCTCCGACACCATCTGAGAAGCCTGGAACGCGGCTGAGGGCGAGGGCGAGGGCTGCGGCGGCGAAGGGCGGCGTAGGTGAGGACGCTTTCGTATCCGAGGGCCCAGGGGAGCTCGCGCCGTAGACGTATCACGACAATAGGTTGTAGGCCGATTTCTCGGGACTCCCGAGAACCCGCAAAAACAAGCTCGGGAACAAAACAAACTGTCCAAGGAGAGGGTCGAGACATTCGGGGACCCTGCACGGTCGGGCTGCTGAAAGAAGGCACGATACACAAGGAACGGAGCTTCCTCTTGGCACCCAGAGCGCCTGCGTTCACGAGGAGGGTTCGAGGAGCAACCATGCAATAACCTACGGTAGAGGGAAACAATTAACGGACACTCCCCCGCCCCCCAAAACTCAAAGTTGGCACGCGCGGGGAAGACTGCGGTCGAAAGCTGACTCGTCCAATCCACCGCCAGCATTGATCAATTGGGGGGGGGGGCATTGACAGATGAATCTGGCATGAGTGTTCGCCAATTTCGTACGAGGCCTGTCAGAAACAGGGAGCCCCTTCCGAACCCGAAGCGATCCATTCTTCAGCGCCTTGGCTGCCTGCACGGCATCCAGGCAGCACACGCGTGGGGGGCGAGGGCCGCGGCGGCGGCCGCGGCGAGGGCGCGAGGGGTGGCTTGCGCCGTGGAGGGGCGGCGGGGTTGGTTGGGGAGCCTTCGTTGACGAAAAGGCAACACTGAAGGGGCCCCAGGACACACAAATAAATACACACAAATAAAAGTGTTCCCCATATGTTCCTATATTTTCTGGTCTCCTGTCTTCCCCCCACTTCCCATATTTTCTTATATTTTCCTGGGAGTCGTCGATTCATTGTGTCTGTGTGTTTCTTTCCTTCCTGACTGATGCCATTTCTTCGGGGCGCATATTTGCTACTTCCGCCACCTTCCGCCGCCCTTCCGCCGGCCTCCGCTGGCGGAGGCGGCCTCGTTGCGCTTCCGCCGCCCTTCCGCCGCCCTTCCGCCGAGGAAGAGAGGTCACCTCCTTCGATCCGCGAAGGCAAGGGCACCTTTGGAAGGCCCCACACGTGTACACGTCGTTCGTGTGTAATCGTGCTCAGTTCCAATTGTGTTCGGTTCTAATTATTCCTGGCCCCCTAGTGGCCTGGCAGAGACCCAGGATTGAACAATTAGAAATGAAGGGATCTTCCCCCCAACAAGATCAAAGAACTTTGGAATAAATCGAAATGCGCAACGTGCAAACCTCCAGGGAGAACTGGAGAGGGGCCGGGTGATGAGAAATGCGCGACGCGTGCGGGTGCGAGCGGTCGGACGCCGGGGGGGGGGCTCCCCTTCGAGCAAGGACCCCCATCTGACAGCACACACCCTTAGCCTTAACTCGGGCCTCTCTTCCTACAGGGAGATTTTAGACGAAAAATTAAAACATACTTGCGCGGGCCGAAACATTTTCCTCTTGAGCCCGACATGTCGGAAGTGACGCGCCGATCCCCTCTGTTCTCGTCCCACCTCCTCTTGCCTCTTCCCTCATCTTTCCCCTCTTCATCCTGGGAAGACCCCCCTCCCCCGTAGAATCGTAGCATTGGTCTTCAGATCCACAGCTCCGTGGATAGCATGATGCTTCACTTGCGGTGCTCCGCGGATGCCATTTCCCCTGGGCCCCGCATGTGTATTATCATTATTATTGTTATTGAATATTTATTCCCGGGAAATGCATGGATCCATCGTTTTTCCCACACAGGAAATTGGACCCGCGCAGCACAGAAATAGGATCCACGAAACTCTCCCACACCCGAAAAAAAGGGATCCAATTGGATCCATTGATGTTTCCATATTTTTAGTCCAAGAGGAAAAACTTTCGGCCTGGGGATGCAGGGTTTGGCACGAAGTGTTGGTGGGGGAGGCGCAGTTCGAAATCCCACTGAAGGGTTTGGCACGAAGTGTTGGCGGGGGAGACGCAGTTCGAAATCCCATGCATGGTTTGGCACGAAGTGTTGCCGGGGGAGACGCAGTTCGAAATCCCACTGACGGGTTTAGCACGAAGTTTTGGCGGGGGAGACGCAGTTCGAAATCCCACTTACGCAGGCCGAGAGATTTTCCTCTTGAGCCCGACATGTCGGAAGTGACGCGCCGATCCCCTCTGTTCTCGTCCCACCTCCTCTTGCCTCTTCCCTCATCTTTCCCCTCTTCATCCTGGGAAGATCCCCCTCCCCCGTAGAATCATAGCATTGGTCTGCAGATCCACAGCTCCGTGGATAGCATGATGCTTCACTTGCGGTGCTCCGCGGATCCCATTTCCCCTGGGTCCCGGATGGTCATTATTATTATATATTTATTCTCGGGAAATGCATGGATCCATCGTTTTTTCGCACACACAGGAAATTCGATCCGCGCAGCACAGAAATAGGATCCACGAAACTCTCCCACACCCGAAAAGGGATCCAATTGGATCCGTTGATGTTTTCATATTTTAGTCCAAGAGGAAAAAACATTCGGCCTGGAGATGTAGTCCAAACCTATTCCCAAATGGCATTCAACAAAAAGAAATACCCACACAATCGTCCCCAGACTACTGTTTGCCTATTTTTGTATATCCCTCCTCTAGAGGGACGGGCCGGACTGAACCTTAGCCCTCCCCACCCCCAAGGCATTCCATCCCGAGGAATCAAGGCGTCGCAAGAGCATGGATGCCAGCTGTCAGCTCATGATTTCTTTGCGGCTTTCTCGCATCGGTTTGGGTGACCCAAAAGAGGGTCCAGCTGAAAGGGGGTGGTGCAGTAGATTTGGGGCAATTGTTTTGCAAATGTATTGCGCTGGGGAATGGTATTGCATTGTATTGCAAGTGATGCGTTGCACGCAAACTTCCAGCAATACATTTGCGCCCCGGAGTGTATTGCACGCCCCAAATGTATTGCAACCCCACAAATATATTGCACTAAATCTATTGCACCACCCCCTTGTCGCTGGACCCCCTGTTGGGTCAACCCGAATCGGGGTGCTCTCCAACGGCGGCACCTCGCCGCGACCGTTCCGAAGAGAGGGGAGGGGGGAGGAAGATTCTGTGGGCTTTCGGAGATGTTCTGTCCTCGGGATGCTCTCTAGCGGCTGCGCCTCGCCGAGACCGTTCTGGGGAGCGGGGAGGGGAGGGCGGAAGATCACGTGGGCTCTCGGAGGTTTTCTCGCCTCGGGGTTTTCTCTCCATCGGCCGCGCCTCGCCGCGAGCGTTCTGGGGCTGCCCAGATCGTCCCGAAGGGCTGGTGGAGATCCGAGACATGATCCCAAGACCAGACGGCCAGGGCGACTGCGGCAATGGCAGCGACGGAGAGGGCGGCGGCGACAGCTACGACGACGAGGGCAATGAGGAGGAGGAGAAGGCGGACGAAGGCAAATGGTCACGCTTCCCATCGCAAAGCCATCGAAGCCCAAGACACCCAGGGCACCCTGGAGGCGAGCAGGGTGTTTCTTGGCATGGGTCTCCACTGTATTGCATCGGGCCAGTCGAATCGAAGAATGGACCCTGGAACAGCGCACGTGCACACCATGCTCGGACTCCCTGTCGAAGGTCCCGCTCTGGCGCGGCGCGGTGCATGGCTCGCTGGGCCCTTGAGACCGGGAAGCTAGGCACCGTGCCGTCCCCGGGTAGGATCAACGACGCCCCGGGTGGCGTCAGCGCGGCGAGGTGCACACAAGTCGCCCGCGGAGTCAAGCACGATCGCTCGGAGGAATCCCCCCCAGACAATCCAAATTCGACAGAGGTGACCACGGCGGTTCTCCCGCCTGCCGCCAATCCGCTCGACATCGGTCCGTGGGCCCCCGCTGGGGCCCATCCCGGCCCTGTTCCTCG